TAAGAGACCCCAGTAAAATGATTTTTAAAAAATCCAAATTCAGAGTTCTTAGCTGTTTTTAGAAGAGGCTTAGTGAATGTTTTTTTCGGCATTGTCTTCAGCAAAAAAAAAATTGTTTACTGAAAAAATTACATTTGTTACAAAATTTAAATGTGTATTCTTTCTCATCTAGTTGGTAAAATGATAACCATCAAGACTATATTTCATACTGTAACTACTAACATCCACTCTTCTACCAAAGTATATTCATTAAGTAAAGCACTTTATCTATAAAACATTTGCATTTGTTTTATTTTACACATGGCTTAAATCTTGAAATGATAGTATTTCTTTAAAAATGATAGTCTTAAATGCTTATTTTTAGTTTCCCCCAAACCACAAGCATAATCTGAATAAAGTCTACATTTTTGAGTGTACAGAATTTCTTTCATCATTTCCGTTCTGGCTACACTTTTAATATCTGTGAATAAGCAGATGCATTGACTTTCTAACTTAGTTTTCCCAGCCTAGGAAGGACACAATCTATTGTGTATAAATGGAGAGATCAAAATCCCTTTGTGTATATTAAGTTCCCAAATTTTATGGCCAAATGCTCTCAGAGAAGCCAACATTCCTAATTTCCAAGTTTTCTGTGGCTCTTAGCTTGAGCCTTTTCTAGCAATCCTACTTTGTTTAAACAGAAATGTTTTACAAGATTTTACTATAAAACATACCAACATCTTCAAAGAATCTCAGCATGAATGCTCATAGACCCACTTCTTAGTTCCTTTCATAACATTTTATTTCGCTTATTTTATTACATATCTAACCATCTATAAGGGGGCTTCAAAAATTTCATGAAAAACAAAAAACCCTTCTTATCTTTTAATCCCACTTTTCCACAGAAAATGTTTTAGCTCCTTCGTGCTCTGCTTTTATCAATCCATCAGTCTTATTTTTTGATGTGTAAATAGGACCTGGAATAAATTTAGGAATCATAATTTTAAAATACAACAATGATATGGTAAAGGGTCACTATTAATGTTTGCCAAAGGCACAAATACCACGTATCTTGGTTCCCTGCTGTCATGGGAACAATAAAAAGCCAGGCATGCAGGACATCAGGATTTGGGTAGGAATTTTCACTTTATTGTATCCTCATGGGATTAACATGCTTTTCTTATATGATTATGTGTAAAATCAGAGTAAAATGTGCCCCACAATCTACTCAGCCATTGAGTCAATCCCAACTCATGGTGACCCGAGAGCAGTGGTTCTCAACCTGTGGGTCGCGACCCCTTTGGGGGTTGAACGACCCTTTCACAGGGTTGCCCAATTCATCACAGTAGCAAAATCACAGTTATGAAGTAGCAACAAAAATAATTCTTTGGTTGGAGGGGTCACCACCACATGAGGAACTGTATGAAAGGGTCTCCGCATTAGGAAGGTTGAGAACCGCCACCCTAGAGAGTTGGTTAAAATCAATATCTTTAAAATACAAGTTCATGCCTAAATACAAGGGAGCTTCAAAAAGTTCAGGGAAAATGTTGATGATCTCTTCATTCCATTTTCCCACAAATTTTGGTAAGCCTCTCCCTTTGTATATTAGACCTTTTGTTTTTCATTATATACTTAGAAGTACTGTATATTAAATTCAGCACAATGAAAAAAATTACCCAAGCGGAGCAAAAACCAGCCAGAAACCATTTCTGAGCTTCTCATTTTCATCAGTTGAAATGCCCCTGCCATAGAAAATAACACGTACTCTAGTGGTTACAAGCTGGGCTGCTAGTCTCAAGACCCAGCAGTTCAAAACCACCAGCCGATCCTCAGGAGAAAGAAAAAGCCTCTACTCCTGTAAGGAGTCACAGTCTTGGACAGCCGCAGGGGCAGTTCTATCCGGCCCTCCAGTGTTGCCATGGGTCAGACAATTCTGGATGGCCGTGCATTTTATTTGTGTGTGTGTCTGAATTTTCTTAGTTTTTGATTTTTTGTGCTTGGTCAGCAGAGGCACCCAAAACTTTGACTAGTAGCCAGCCCGTTGACCATGTCATGCAACATTGTCCTGTTTCTGACCAGTTGGTGGTCAGGTGTCAGGTGGTGACAATGGCGTTAACTGGCCAGTAGCAAACGTTTTTGTTTTTCAGCTCGGTCCATGGAGAACCCACCATGAGGTTGTTCGAGTACTCTCGGAACAGAGTTCCATCCCTTTTTCAGACAACCTGAGGAAGAGACAAGTGAATGTTGCAGAAATGCCTCTGACACAAAAGATTCTGAGAAAATTCCAAAGCACAAGTAAAGTAAATTCTAAGCATACCTTGGTTCTTGGTGAGACCAGGAGGAAAAACTTTTCTATTAAGAAAAAACCATGAATGCCTCCAATTAGTCCCAGCAGTTTCCACACGTGACCCTTGTTTCCATGGAAATGCCCTAATTCTGAAGCTTCTTGCTCATAGAGACCAAGAATCTAAAAAAGGAAAACGATGACAATGAAATAATCAGGTATCTAAGTCCTGTTGAGCATGTCAAATGGGAATCGATATTCAATACCCCGGGTTGACCATGGTTGTGGGAAGCCCAGGACTACTGTGATCCCTCAGAGCCTGGTTTGGTTCTGAGTATGGGAACACATCCATTATATTATTTAATCAGAGCCAACTAAAGTGTGCACCCTGAGAAATAGAAAGTTGTCAACGATTTGAGCTCACGAGCAAAACGAAGCCTCAGCCTTAGTTCAGCAAGTGGACTGCACACTAATTTAGTGGCCCTCAACCTGTGGGTTGCAAACCCTTTGGGCAGTGGTTCTCAACCTTCCTAATGTGACCCACAGCTTGAGAACCACTGTCTTTGGAGGTCAAAGGACCCTTTCACAGGGGTCGACCGATTCCTAACAGTAGCAAAATTACAGTGATGAAGTAGCAACGAAAATAATTTTATGGTTGGGGGTTCACCACAACATAAGGAACTGTATTAAAGGGTCTCGGCATTAGGAAGGTTGAGAACCACTGCTCTAGTAGATTCTCAGTCCTTTATACTGATCCCCCACCCGCACCCCAGGATTTCAAGCCACATTGAATTACACAAAGCAATGTTTTACACAAAATCACCTATTTTATACCCTGAACAATAAAGATATCTTTCATCTGGGGTTAATTCTCCCACGAGCCATTTCAATAATACAAACTTTAGTAAGTGATCAGATAAGTAAGGCTTTCTCTGTTGAAGAGTGAGATAGTTAAGGTTTTTTGTGCCAACCTGGCCAATAAACACATGTGGGATTTATTGAAGGGCCGAGAGATAAATGGCTCAGTGAGCCTCGCCCTTCTGGTTCTCTGGTCTCTTGTTCTCTGATGGTTGGACCAGGTGTGGCTGCCTTAGCTAGTTCTCTGCCTCAGCTGGCAAGGCTCACTTCCTGTGAGACATCCCTGAGGAGAAGCCCCATGGACAAGCCCCATGGACCTACCCCGATGCAGCCCTGGGTGCTGGAGACCCCTGCCAGCACTGAGATGTTTACACTGGCACTGGATTCAAAGACTTTCTACCCACTGGTCTGTGATCCTCCTACATTCAGTGTCATTGTGTGTGTTTTGTGAGTTTGAGGATGACTTTGTATAAGTGTCGGAAATATGGGATAAATCAGACTTACGGGCTTGGACTGGATTGGGTTGAGATGCTTTCTGAATGTACACTTACCCTATATATAAAACTCTCTCTCATACTTACATGAGTCTCTGTGGATTTGTTTCTCTGGTCTACCCAGACTAATCCAAATACATAGCAAATGCCATGGACTGTATAGTATGTGAGGGTCATTAGTGTCAGCTCTCTGGGATACACAAGGATGAGGAATTTCCATCCAGTCGTTTCACTGCAATGGTTTACCCCAGAACTTTTGTGACCTAGTAAATAATATGGAAATCTTGCCTCCCCAGAGGTAGGCAGTTAGCATGAGCACTTGGTTGTCCCCAGATTTGGCGCATGAAACCAGCACACCAAACCCACCCCATCAAGACAACCTGAACGAGAGCCTCAGAAGGCAGAGGAGCATCGCTCTCGAGACGCCAAGGCTGGAAAGCATTGTGATGGAGACAGCCCTACCTTCTCCCTCCCAGAGACTCGGGGGTTTGAACAGCTGAACTGTCAGCCAGCAGCCAACCCACACCACTAGGATTCCTCAGAACAAAAGGCAACAATAACAATAAAGAAATGCCATGTAGAAGAAGCACACCAGCCTATGCAACCACGAGGTGTCGAAGGGATCAGGTGTAAGGCATCATCAGAACAAAAAATCTTACCATAGTGA